TCACAGTTATGGTAACACTGTGCTCAGCCTTTCACACATATTCATCATATCATTTACTCCTTACCAAAACCTAAGAGTCAGACATTACCTCACTTAACCCGGCTTTAGCTGTTTGTTAGAATCTTCCACAGATTTAGCTAGTGATATTAATTTAGGCTCTGAAAATAAACGAAACTTTGGAGCCTTTGGCTATTTCCTTCCAGCAAATTTGCAAAAGCCAAGACGATTCAAGAGTTTCATTAAAGACAGCTGATCCTCTTAGCAGTGCACATGGAGCATTCTCCTTCAGAGAAAAAAGGTAAAGTCAGGAAATCCTGGGATGTTCTGTCTAAATTCTACTTCACTGAAGTGGTGACAGATTAAAGTTCAGCCTCAAAGTTATTTTTCACTGGAAATTGGGTAGACTCCAGTTTGCACCAGATTTTTTTGGCCAGACTTTTTTATCCCTCTGGGCAGAGCTCAGGGCTCTCTATGTAGTTGATGGAATCTTGCCCACGAAAGGCTCAAAAGAGGGATGGAGGGTGTGGAGAGGAGAGGTTCTGACCCCTGTCCCCAAGCCAGTGATGGTCGGCGGTTTCATAGGCTTTGTATCCAAGTGAGTGCAGATGGGCTGTTGGCCAGACATGGAACCGTCACACCACGCAGGAAGGGATTCAGAGTTGACCAGGGACAAAGATGTCTTCTTTCACAGGCCCTTCAACTTGTCCTGGTGTTATCTGCCTCTTACGCAGCTATTATGAAATTCAGAAGACGTCTAGCTAGCATTTTATCTTTGTCACACGTGAGCTCTGTGCTTCAAATTAGGGAAAATAATAGAACCATCCCATGGCAATTATACTTTAATAACAAAAATTAAAAAAAATAGTAGTATTCAACAGGGCTAATGTGAAGATTCAGTGAGATAATATAGTGCAGGAAAGGTGCCTGGAAAACAGGAAATGCGTCATAATTGTTAGATAGGACTACGCTTGTATTATTATTATTTTTTCAACGTTTATTTATTTTTGGGACAGAGAGAGACAGAGCATGAACGGGGGAGGGGCAGAGAGAGAGGGAGACACAGAATCAGAAACAGGCTCCAGGCTCTGAGCCATCAGCCCGGAGCCCGACGCGGGGCTCGAACTCACGGACCGCGAGATCGTGACCTGGCTGAAGTCGGACGCTCAACCGACTGCGCCACCCAGGCGCCCCTACGCTTGTATTATTAATAGTGATACATACAATAAGGTCAGAGGAAAATAAATTCATTCTTCATGTATACAGAATGTTGTTTGGCTGCACCTTTAAGCTTTTCTCTTTTTTAGGATTTTCGGTTTTATTTATTTATTTTTAAGTAGGCTTCATGCCCAGCACAGAGCCCAATGCAGGGCTTGAACTCGTGAGCCTGAGATCGAGGTCTGAGCTGAGATCAAGAGTCAGATGCTTAGCTGACTGAGCCCCCCAGGCACCCCTAAACCTTTCAACTTTTTAGAGATCATTTTGATACATCCAGTTAGAGGGACCATCAATGTAGGTCTTCTCCATGCATGGCCATCAACTTAAAAATAAAGAAGAGTAATTTTACATACCATATAAAAATGTAGCTTTAGTAGGTGGTTTGTAAATCTGAATAGTTTTTACTGTTTCAGGACATACCTATTGATGCAGAAACAGTCTCTGGATTTATCTTAATATTAAAAAATCAGAAAGCACATATGCTACTATACCAACATGGCAAAAATTTTGAAATATCATAAAAAGTCTGAGATAAAAACCACAAAAATATTATTTTACTGGATTCACACTACAGAGTCTGGATTTTTAACTTCGTGGCTATTTTTTGACTTATACAATTAAGAAATGGCCAAGTCAAGGGGCACCTGGGTGGCTCAGTCGGTTAAGCGTCCGACTTCGGCTCAGGTCATGATCTCCCGGTCCGGAGTTCAAGCCCTGCGTCGGGCTCTGTGCTGACAGCTCGGAACCTGGAGCCTGCTTCGGATTCTGTGTCTCCCTCTCTCTGCCCCTGCCCCACTCATGCTCTGTCTCTCTCTCTCTCTGGCAAAAATAAATACACATTAAAAAAAAAAAAAAAAGAAATGGCCAAATCAACATTTAAGTAAATAGGGTTTCAAGCAATATAGGATTAATTTTCCCCATTTTTTTTTAAAATCAACCAAGAGAATTCAGAACACCATACACACACACACACACACACACACACACACACACAGTCCCCCCTCCCCCAAATTAAAATCGACCTGGATAGTGCCATTTCAGAGCACGATTGTAGCAAATCTAAGTTTTACCTAAATAAATAATTCTCTATGACTTAGGGTAGTTATTACACAATTATGAACCATCACCAAAACTTACATTGTTTAAGAGTAAGTGACTTTCTTTTCAAGAAGTGGCTCACGAATGTTTTCTTAAGTAAATTATAATGATAAATCGCCAGTAGTATCTTAAACAAATATCTTCTAACATTTTCCCCTTGATTTCCATGCCCAAGGTGAACAATTTATTTTAGGAGGATTATTTCTGCTGACAAGGAAGTTAAGAAAAAAAATCACTCAGCTGAAGAAGGTTTCCTGATAATCACGGAATCTTTGAAAGCTTGGCCCTGGATATCATTAGATGACAGTCTCACCTCAGGGTCCCCTCACCGGGAGGAAACCCGGGTGAGCACTGAGTCTCCTTATTACTGGAGGGCATGCCTGCCAACACAGACCATTTTGGAAGACGGGAAATGTAAATAGAAGCATAAGTAGCCACCGACAAGGTTCAGGAAATAGCAGTAAGGGAGTCACCAAGGTCGTCATATCTCAGGTTTTTTGATTTGGGAGGGGATATGAAAAAGCAGGAACTATCCTTTGGCCCTTCATGAAATGGGAATATTTGCTGGTCCAACTAGTGGAAAAACACCATGCTTCAAAAGTTTCCAGAGAGTAACAATGAAAGCTATGATTTGATGAGGCGTACAAAAAAAATTTTTTTTTCTATGTAGCCAAGTGTGCAAATCGTAAATATCTAGCTTGACCCATTTTTCTCTCTCAGTCGAATTGTGGTAAAAATATACATGGCACAAAATTTACCACCGTAGCCATCTTTGAGTGCGCACTCCGGTCTACACATTGTTGGGGAACCACCGCCACTCTCCGCCTCCAGAAGTTTTTCAGCTTCCCAAAATGAAACGCCACACCCATTCGACACTGGCTTCCCATTTCCCCTCCCCCTAGGCCTGGACGGCCACCGGGCTACCTTCCGTCTCTCTGAATTTGACTCCTGTAGGTGTAAGTCATCTGAGTGGACCCCTACAACATATGTCTTTCTGTGCCTGGCTTATTTCATTTAGCATAATGTCTTTGATGAATTTTATCAAATTGAAACCCTTGCATAACCGGTGAGCTGACGAAGAAACACGACATTGCCAGAACCAAAGAGGCCCTTGCGGCCCTTCTTTTTTGGTACCTGCTACCCTTGCGTGATCATGAGGGCGAACATGTCCATGGTCAATGACAAGAGTGAGACAGAAGAGAGAAGACCAAGGTTTCTGCCTCTCGTCTCCCCAGTAGGAGAAACTGCATATCTGGTCTGTTTTGGACATGAGGCTTTAGCCTACCTGCCAAGAAAAAGCTTGGAAACTGTTGGCTTAGAAAATGTTCATACTTCCACACCCAGATTGTCTGGAAAAGTGCCTTGGGTTTGCCCTTATTCTGCTAACTCCCACTTTTGTGACTCTGTTTAGACAGCATCTCCTTCAGGAAGCCTTTTCTAATTGCTCATTGGTGACTTCCTGCCAAAATGTGGCATAGCCATACGATGGAATATTATGCTGCCTTTAAAAGGAAAAAAATTCTGTCATGCTGAAACATGAATGAACCTTAAGAATGTTCTGCTAAGCAAAATGAGCCAGTCACAGAAGGGCATACACTGTATGATTCCACTCATATGAGGTATTTAAGCAGCTCTTAATTACACAGAAGCATCATTACACTGTCATCATAAGAGTTAGTATGCATACTTCATTCTATTTATTTTTTTTATAATTTTTTAATGTTTATTCATTTTTTAAAGACAGAGAGAGACAGAGCACAAGCAGGGGTGGGGTGGAGAGAGAGGGGGGCACAGAATCTGAAGCAGGCTCCAGGTTCTGAGCTGTCAGCACAGAACCTGACGCGGGGCTCAAACTCACAAACTGCGAGATCATGACCTGAGCCTAAGTTGGCCGCTCAACCGACTGAGCCACCCAGGAGCCCCTTCATTCTCTTTTTTATCTGAAAGAAATTACTTACAAATCTTTCACTTTTACACTTCCTGATCTAGAAACAAAAACCCACATAGTTTAATTAGATAAAGGTATAAAATATACATGAACTTTTACAAAGAAACAAGCCAAGTTTTTTTTTTCTTTTTGAAGCTAGAGTAAGTAACAATAGATAAAAACATATTTCCCATATCCCTAATATGTCTGACCTTTATTTGAACGCCATTCTCTGAGTTGTGGGGATTTACTATACATTCTTTTACTCTCGGTTGCAAGAAAATCTTGAAACATGGAAGCCAACAGTAGGTGAAGTCCAAAGTTTCCCTTTGTTAATTCCCCAAATGTCTGCAAGTAAGTTACTCTCTGATGGTGTCCTTTACATCCAAAAAGTGAGCATCTTTCCTCTTGTTGGTTTGTTTGTTTATTTATTTAATATAAAAAAATGTTTTTTAAGTTTATTTATTTTGAGAGAGAGATAGAAAGTGAGTGGGATAGGGGCAGAGAGAGGGGGAGAATCCCGAGCAGGCTCCGCATTGTCAGCGAGAATCCCGAGTGCGGCTGGAACCCAAGAACCATGAGATCCTACCCTGAGCTGAGATCAAGAGTCAGATGCTCAACCAACTGAGCCACCCAGGTGCCCCCTTCCTCTTGTCGTATAAGAAGCTATCCACAAAACCAAGGGAAGTCCCCCAAATCTACCTTTCCTTTAACTTTGGATCGTGAGTCAACAGAAAAGATATCAAGTCAGATGAACAGGCTAAAATATTGAACAGACTCCTCATAACTATTCTCACAAACACAATGAAACTTTGAAAAGCCACAATTTGAATATTATTAGAAAACTCGTTGTGGCCTGATCACAAGACATTTAAAAAAAATTAATTAGAATTATGGATGATTTTTGTCCCCTCCTTTTTATTTGTCAGATTTTTTTAAATGCTAACTTCAGATTCTTTTTATCACCACCTTATGCTATTTGAGAGTACGCTGTAAACAAATGAACTCACTTCATTTCGTTCCTGTGCAGGAAGCTAAAGTCAAGCCGGTGGAAACCGCAGTGAGCTGCGTGTACACGGTTTTATCGGCACCTACTCTACTGTTCACTTTGTAGCTGCCTTGGGATGGGTAGGCGTAGCTCTTGTTTTCTCAGATACGAGAGCAATGAAATTGACCCAGACTTACCCAGCTTCCAGGAAATGGGCAAGTGCTCTGGTGAGAGGCAGGTACGGGAGGCGAGAACAAAAATAGGAACCGAGCAGATTGGGCACCAGATCCAATTTTCACCATAGTCGAATGGAGGAGAATGACAACCCAGGCGATTACCTGCAGTGTGATCGTAGTTATGACCTAGGTAAGCCCAGACTGATGGGTTCCAGAAAGGCACCTCACCCAGGCTTGAGTTGGGGAAGTGGGGGTTACAGAAACTCTGCTGGAAGACGACATGCCCAACTGGAGTGGAGAAACATGTTCTGGGCCAAGGGAACAGCACGCGAGAGTCTCCGAGGGAAGAGGGAGCAGAGCAAGTTGAGGGAATGCAGATTGTCCAGGAGGATGGGAGGGGAGGACGGGATGTGGCGAAGTGGAAACATCTAAGGCCAGGAGGAGGATGATCATGGAAATTATCTACTGGAGCCAGCAGCTGGACTTCGTCTAAGGCTCTCCGAGGTCCTTGAAATGCATTCAGCAGACAGAACGTGATCAAGAGGACTCTTAGGAAGAGTATCCTGCAGTGATGAGGAGGGAAGATCGGGAGGTGCATGCAGCAGAAAGGAAGTGTGTCGAAAATCGGGTAGTCCTCAGGCGATCAATCCTGATGGCCTGTTGGGCAAAGCTGAACGCTTGGCCCTTGCGGGGCAGCCGCAGGGGCAATGCACGGCCCCTGGCCCCAGCTGCCCTTCCGAGGGGTGGGTGAGGTGCTATCCCCCAACCTGGGAAGAAGCAGGTCTGGCAGGGGGGATGTAAGCTCTGGTTTGGATGTGTTGGGTTTGCTGTGTCTGCAGTGTGTCTGGCTCTAGGACAGATGGTCAAGAGCCGCTAGGAGGGCTCTGAGAGAGCAAACAAAACCGGTGATGCATGAGCTATGCGCAGGAAGGGAAACTCTGGTGGGGAATGAGATCGCTCAGAGAAAGGCCACCGCGTGGGGAACTGGCCCAGGACCGCACTCTCAGGAACAAGGAACGTTTGAGGAGTGAGCAGAGGTGAGGGCAGTGAAGAAGGCTGACACCGAACGCTCGCGTCCAAGAGGCAGGAGAATGAGGACCCAGCGTGGTCAAGGCGAGCCGTGGGCAAGGAGCTTCCTGCCCTTCCCATCCCTCTTGGGCAGCTAGGGTTTGCACAAGCCCGAGCAAAGCCAGGGACTGTTGGGGAAAGGGCTGTGGTCCGGAGGCAGGCTGGGTGCTGGGTCCCACCTGGCTGGCTGCAGCACCCCTGCGTCTGGAGCCCGGTGTTGCCAACCCAGCGGGGGAGCAGTTCAGTGCTTGGTGCCCACCGGAAGCTGGCTGGGAGGTTGCCAGGCGTTGGCCGTGGGAGCGCTTAGACCGGGGCCTGGCTGGCTCGCCTGTTCAGGAAGCCTCCGCTGGTAATGTTAGTGACACACGTGGATCTGTTTTAGGAGAATATTCTCTAACATTGGGCCTGTCCTGTAAACTCCTAATTCTGTTTGGCTCTAAAAGTAATTACCATACTTCATAGCCGTTTATGAAACTATATTAAAATTAAGCAGGGAACTCACAATCTATTTCTTTTTCAAACACTAGAGTTTGGTTTTTAGAAGTAAGAAATATGTCCATTTCTTAAAGTACCGTAGACTTTCTTCACTCGCCTGTTCAGAAGTCAGAATCTAATCACCCCTTATCTGATGAACTGAAAGAAGAAAAATATCATAATAAGGCTATATTAAAATCCAGGGATTCTGCACTGAATAACTAGAGTTTCTTCTTTCAGCGATTACATAAATCTTCTTTTACAAGCAACATAACTACTGAACTTTATTTTTTATTTTTATTTAAAAAAAAATTTTTTTTAACGTTTATTTATTTTTGAGACAGAGAGAGACAGAGCATGAATGGAGGACGGGCAGAGAGAGAGGGAGACACAGAATCGGAAACAGGCTCCAGGCTCCGAGCCATCAGCCCAGAGCCTGACGCGGGGCTCGAACTCACGGACCGCGAGATTGTGACCTGGCTGAAGTCGGACGCTTAACCGACTGCGCCACCCAGGCGCCCCAGACTTCCAGTAATCGAATAAGTCACGGACATGAAAAGTACAGCCCGGGGAATATAGTTGTCATAATGATGTCTGGTGACTGATGGTCGCTACTTTATCACGACGAACACGGAGCAATAACGTATAGAATTGTCAACTCACCAGATTGTACACCTGAAGCTACTACAACACGTCAATAGTAAATACTTAATGAATAATATTATTTATTTCAACAATAAATAAAAGGGGAAACGAGCCATAGAGTGACTTGAGAAAGAGCTTTCTGACCGAAATGGCAATGTCTTAACGTGTTGCCACCGGCACAGCATTGCTTGTGAGGCCCAGGCCTCCAGAGATGTGTGCGCCATTAAAACAGGCTCTAAAAAAAGAGATGAAAAGGCTCGGAGCCACTGCAAGACCGTCTGTGACATATTTAATCCTGGGCAACCTTTCCAGCAAGGTTCCGGCAGAGCTTGAGGAATTTGGCCCCCTCAAATCACGGGACTTTCCACATCACTCTGGTGATAAAAGGAGGTAGTTTTTTGTTTTTTGTTTTTTTTCCTGAACGCATAGGCAGAGCTAGATTCCTACGCCCATAGAGAGGAAGGAGAAACACTCGGGTGTCTACACAAGCCAGAGCACCGGATACGGATACAGCACCAGCCCAGATGGATGGGGCATTCCATTTCTCCACAAAAGCTGAGCTAAGAAAAATGTCAGGTCGATAATGAGGAAAGACTGGGAGGAAACGTAATACAGGTGAGTCGGGTCTCCTTGAGGAGATTTCACAGCAGCGAGACTGGTGGGCAGGGCAGTGGAAGATCGACATTTTTTATTGACCAGCTACCATATCCTGCGTGTGGTGCTCAGTGCTTTATGCCTATTATGACATCCTTGCAAGAGAATGAGTAGAGCTTTCCCCCTGGGAAGAGTGCCACAGTCCTATGGCTGGTTAACAGACATCAACATTCAACAAAACTTGGCAGTGAAATTATTTGCAGAAGCTATCATAAGAGTGCTTTTCTTTGTCTCAGATTGTTTTGTAGGACCTTGGAGTTTAATAACAGAGACCCAGATGCCTAATCCGTCCAGCTCGGTCTTGTGCCTGACTCACTGGATGGCCTTCGTGAAATCATTCTCCATCGGTGAGTGCATTTCCTTGCTGCTAAGACAAAACTAAAAATACGTATTGTCTTCAGGGGTTATGGTAAGCACTGGCTGAGTAATTTTTGCTAAGAAATTGCAACTTTTTCAAGTATAGAGGAGAGAAAAAGATGTATTTCATCATACAGGAAATCTTTTTGGGAGTTGCCCTATCCTAAAGTGATACAATATAACAGAAAAAACTTTCTACAACCTCTAAGCTTCATTAGACCACGGGACACAAAGTGCCGTAATTCTCGTGCTTTCTGATGCTGGCCAAGACACGGCCAAGACAGTTGCAAGAAGCAGTTCAGTTGTTCAAGACACGGTCAGTCGTTGAAGACACGGTGTGCGGGGGGGAGAGCAGTCTTTTTCTGTCCTGCTCTTCACACGCGGGGCGGGTCCCCCATGGACCTGGTCCAGCCGGGCCAGACATCTCTCATGTGTCTGTGCTCCCAAAGTGTACTCTTTCCCAAGTGCTAAGCCCACCGGCAACTTTTCTTTGGAATTTATATGACTCCGTGTTTTGGCTGCTACAAATCTAGTTTTATAAAGTGCTGGGTTTTCTAATTTTTTAAAACAAATTTTTAATGTTTATTTAGTTTTGAGAGACAGAGACAGAACACGAGCAGGGGAGGGGCACAGAGAGGAGACACAGAAGCTCAAGCAGGCTCCAGGCTCTGAGCCATCAGCACAGAGCCCGACGCGGGGCTTAAACCCACGAGCCGTGAGATCGTGACCTGAGCCGAAGTCGGAGGCTTAACCAACTGAGCCACCCAGGCGCCCTTGAGTTTTCTAATTTTAAGCAGGAAAATTCTGCCCCACTCGCTTGGTATTTTCTATGATTTTATTCATCTCCCTTTAATTTGAGTGACGGAGTCTAGCGGCTAAGAAGGTTTTGAGAGACAACTCAGGATAGTAGAAAAAGCCTAAAATGTGGAAGCCAGGAGAGGAATCCCGACATTGCTACCAACTTTCTTACGGCCTTGGATGCATTCCTCAGATCTTTGAAATTCAGGGTTTTTTGACCATCCGATGGGGAGAATGATATTGACCTTGTAGAGTTGTTGTAAGGGTTAGAGATCTTTGATAGATTTGCTTTATGAAACAAGCATATATTGAGTACCAAGTTCCTTACGTGGAAATATGGCTGCAAACAAGACAAATAACCAGCTCTTATACAGCCAGAGTTTCAGTGGGGAGCTATATCTAAAGTTACTGGGTCTAGAACTCGGGCAAACAGTCCATAGACACGGTGGGCACCTCCATATTGGATGCCAGTGAGTTCTTCCTTTATCCTCCAGACACAGGACAAAGGGACATTTTGAGGGGTCATCTGGTCCTCCTGTTGCTTCCATTTTCACGACTTATTCGGACAGCAGTTACTGAGCAGCTGGATCCCACGTGCACAGGCTTCCTCCAGCACTAGGAACACGGAAGTGATCGGGCTGTGGCCTTGGTCTCAGGGCTGACAGTCGGGGAGAGAGACAGGCAGTTACCCTTCAGTGTGCTGGGGACTGTGGGGTCCTTTGGAGGGGGAGTGCTTCCCAGAAGGGTCTGGGAACTAAGTCTTGAAAGATGAAGGGGATTTGGCACAACGAGGCGTGGTCGGGAGGGTAGAGAAGGTGCTCAAGATAGAGAGGACCGAGGCCAAGGCTTGGAGGGCACAGGGTCCTTGCTGTCTTGGGGGCAGTAGAAAATAATTCAGTATGAAGTACAGGGTGTAGGGACGGGGTGGGGAGAGATAAGGGGTGCCGGATACACGAAGAGAGCTCAGCCTCACACGTGTGCTGAGGAAGTTAAAACCTCTTACACGAGCCTGAGATTTTTGGAGAAGAGGTCAAACTGGAGACTCAGTGACACTGGCCAGAGGTTGAACCAGGGCACTGGTCATCAGGAGAGTCAGGCAGTAATGTTTGAGGAGGTGGACAGCCCAGTGGAGAGCGACTGGGGTGAGGAGTGGTGGGAGGGCAGACCTGGGTCCCCCCAAGGAGGACGGCCAAGCCATGGACCTGGGGAGGGAGGGAGCGCAGTCTTTGATGACAAAGGCCGCCTCGAGCTCTTGCTAGCCCCGTGGCCCCAGGAAAGTTACTGAACTCTCTGTGCCTCAGACCCTTCATCTAAAAGCGAGCATGATGATAGGGGCGCCTGGGTGGCGCAGTCGGTTAAGCGTCCGACTTCAGCCAGGTCACGATCTCGCGGTCCGTGAGTTCGAGCCCCGCGTCAGGCTCTTGGGCTGATGGCTCAGAGCCTGGAGCCTGTTTCCGATTCTGTGTCTCCCTCTCTCTCTGCCCCTCCCCCGTTCATGCTCTGTCTCTCTCTGTCCCAAAAGTAAATAAACGTTGACAAAAAAAAAATTTAAAAGCGAGCATGATGATAGTAGAACCTCATAGGGTGTTGCGTTGTTATGTGGCTTAAAGAAAATAAGGCATGTAAGGCACTCAGAAGGGTGTCTGGAGTGTCCCAAGTCCTCAGGAGGTGCCAGTTAGGGGACACAGCAAGATGGAGATTCTTGGAGGAGAAAGAGGGCTCAGGAGGACCAGGGGGTTTCCTTCTGTTTCCCATGACAAGAGGTTGCTTCAAGACTTTAAGAACAGCATTTCGGTCACCTTGTCAAAGGAGGTAAACTCCACAACGGAGGCTGCCTCGCCGGCTGCCAGCTGCGCAAAACCCGGGACAACTCTCTCTGAACAGATTTGTGGAGTCCGGGACACCTAAGACAGCGGACCCCACATCCGCTTCAGGGCTCGAGCAAGAGAAACGTAAGTGAAAACGTTCAGGCCGTAGATCCCTGTGGGGGGTTCAGTCTTCATACGAGGTCGGGGACCAAGCGGGGTCCTGGTGAGATGGTGAAGCACGTGCAGTTTGTTTTTACCCAAACTGCTACCAACTTCTCTGATGTTTTTCGAAAGACATCTTTTTTATTTTTTTAAATGTTTATTCATGTTTTAGAGAGAGAGACAGACAGAGTGGGAGCAGGGGAGGAGCAGAGACAGACAGGGACACAGAACCCGAAGCAGGCTCCAGGCTCCGAGGTGTCAGCACAGAGCCCGACGCGGGGCTCAGACTCATGAACCGCGAGGTCGTGACCTGAGCCAAAGTCGGACGCTTCACCGACTGAGCCACCCAGGCGCCCCTCAAGATCTATTTCTTTTAAGTTTTTTCACGGCACCAATGAATAATAAATTCTTAGTGGCTCATTTAAAAAGTAAACATACCCTAGGAGCACTTGGGCGGCTCAGTCAGTTAAGCATCCGACTCTCGATTTCAGCTCAGGTCCTGATCTCAGGGTCGTGAGTTCGAGCCCCGTGTTGGGCTCCGTGCCGGGTGTGGATCCTGCTTAAGATAATCTCTCTCTCAAGGGGAGGCTGTCTCCCCTTCTGCTGCACTCTCTCTCAAAGAAGTCGACAAGTTATTAATTAATTAATTAAAATAAAAGTATACACACCCTAAACGGGCAATTGATGACCAAGGCATTTCGAAATCAGCCTGCCCCTCCTCTCACCAAACGACTGGGTTTTCCACGCTAGCAAGTCAGAGAGCTCTGCTTGCCTCAGACGGGCACCGCTGTTCATGAAACACTTGAATCTGGTTCTTGCTCTCCGTGCTTATGTCTGCCTTCCTTCTGGATGCATCCAACCCTCTGACCTCCTTGACCCGATGACCTTATTCTCTGCTGGGCCACGGCTTCCCGTTCTCACGGTGCAGAATGTGAAGTCTGAGCCTCGTTATCTTTTGAAACTGTTCCACCTCGAAAATCATGAATCAGACATCCTCCTTGCTGGTCACAAACTTGCCACTGCAGCTTCTTGCACAAAGGTCCCCGGCGCAAGTGTCCCTCTGGCTGTGGGTGGCGTGCACACCTCCCCCTTTCTCTCCGTTAGCGGGCCTCTCTGCTCTATTAATGTTCCCGAGATCCAAGTTGGTTCTGGCCCCCATGACACAACCACGTTTCTGGTAAGCTCTCTTGCCCTCCCTTTGCTACATATGCCCGGCAAATTCAATTCCTTGTCTGTTTTTCGTTTTTCTAGTTTACTTATTTACTTTGAGAGAGAGAAAGAGAGAGCAAGCAGAGGAGGGGCAGAGAGAGAGAGAGAGAGAGAGAGGGAATCCCAAGCAGGCTCCACCCTCCCAGCGAGGAGCTGGATACAGGGCTCGAACCCATGAACCCGTGACATTATGACCTGAGCTGAAATCAAGAGCTGGACAGCTAATCAACTGAGCCACTCGGGCACCCCTAGCGGAGTCAATTCTTTTTTTTTCTTTTAACGTATTTTTAATGTTTCATTTATTTTTGAGAGAGAGAGAGACAGAGACAGAGTGCAAGCAGGGAAGAGGCAGAGAGAGAGGGAGACACAGCATCCAAAGCAGGCTCCAGGCTCCGAGCCATCAGCACAGAGCCCGACGCGGGGCTCAGATCCACAAACCGTGAGATCATGACCTGAGCCGAAGTCGGACGCTTAACCGACTGAGCCACCCAGGCGCCCCATGGTGAATTCAGCTCTGAATGAACTCAACCATAGCCATTCTCTGGCCTTGACCAGGCTGCTGAGTGTCACCACTGGGAAGCTCCCCAGCTAGGCGGATGGTGAGCGCTATATGCCTTTGATCACCAACCACAGGGGTACTCCCTTTTCCTGGCAATCTCTCTATGCTTCTCTCAAAACACTTTTCACAAATGTTCCGTCTCCTTCAATCTCAAATATGCCCCGCCTCTCCCTGACTTTGCTTCATATTTCACAAAGAGATAGAAATACCAGACAAGACCTTTCTCGACTTCGTGCCATCAAATCGACACCACCACCTGCATCGGCCCTGGTTTTCCCCTCCTCTCGATAGAACTGAGTGGCCATTTCCCCTTTAACAGAGACTTATTTTCCATCCTGCCCTGGACCGAAGGTACTGAGAAGTGATTTATGGTTGCAGAGACGTGGTGCTTACTGGCGACCCCGATGGAAGCCATATTGAAGTGGAAAAAGAAGGAGCCAGAAGGTGGAGAAAGCAACAGAGCGGCTGTAAGCCAGTTCAGTCGAGAAATCTGATTATGAAGAGAGGCAGTCACTTAAGTGCCCTCTTCTGAACCTTAGGCTATCAGCTATTGCCCTCATCTTTCCCCTGGTCCCCTCTACCCATTCCTTTCTGCCCTCAGATATGCAACGTCCTCTGAACCTCAACACTAGTACGAACAGCTAGACAAACCGGAAACAGAAACCACCCTTGAACCTTGTATACCTCAGCTATTGGCCTATTATTTGCTTCCCTTCGTAATCAAATTTCTACAACGGCTGTCCATAGCAGTCTTATTACTTTTTCTACCTTCCGGTTCCTTCAAATCTCGCTTCCATATGGCTTTTGTTAGGGTCACCAGTGATGTCCAGATTAGTGAAACCGAAAATCACTTCTCTGTCTCCTGAGGTGTTTCCCTGAGGCAAGTCCTCAGGGAAAATCTTGTAGATTTGGGAAAGTAATATCCAAAGGTGATGGAATCGGCTTAACAAATTAACTCCCCATTTACTGACTGCATAGTCTGTGTGAGGCACTGGCTTGAGTAATGGGACTTCACAGAGACACACAGGATGTGGCCTCTTATCATGGGCCTACTGGCCGGCACCGTAAAGAAATGGTGGTGATACACCGAGCTCCAAGCAGTAAGTAAGTGAAGCAGATGGGGCCCAGGGAGCACCAGGGAAGAAGGAGAGTCAACCTTCTCTACAGTGGGCAGGAAGGGCAGTGCCTGAACTGAGGACCTGAATGACGAGGGAGCACACTCCAGGCCGTGGAAGCTTGTGCAGTGCAGGGGGACTTGTTGCTGTGGTGACAGTCGGGGAACTTCCTGTCACATGGGACACAAAAGTCTGCGGTGGAAGTGACGACGGAGGGAAGGACAGACATGACCAGTCGGACGGTGATCTCTGACCAGGACCGCAGAGGTGCTCACAGCGAGGACACTGGCCGCCAGCCCTCTCTCCATCCCAGTGACACCGGAACCACTGTATTTGACCTAGGTATGGTCCTGGGTGTCAGCAGGTGCTGAATAAAGGACTGAATATTTTAGCTCATGAAACTTGCCACATTACTGGTGTTGTTTTTCTTAAAAGTGTTACTGCATCTGACCTGCTTAGAACACTATTAGGCACAGCGTTTAAGAGACAGCAGGACATAGGGACACCTGGGTGGCTCAGTCGGATAAGCATCTGACTTCGGCTCAGGTCACGATCTCACGGTCTGTGGGTTCGAGCCCCGTGTCGGGCTCTGTGCCGACAGCTCAGAGCCTGGTGCCTGCTTTGGATTCTGTGTCTCCCTCTCTATCTACCCCTACCCCACTCATACTTTCTCTCTCTCTCTCTCTCTCTCTCAAAATAAATAAATGAATATTAAAAAAAATTAAAAAAACAAACAAACAAAAAAGACAGCGGGGCATAACGGTTGGACCCCAACCTACTAGACTAGACACCCAGAGTTTATGCCCTGGCTTTGCTGTCTGCCATGACTTTGGCCAAGTTACTTAGCCTCTTTGTACCTTCTGTGCCTTGGGAACTCTGATAGTACCTAACTCACAAGGTTACCACGAAGGTGAAATGAGTTTATATGTGTAAAACAATGCTTTGTAACAATTCACAACAATTGTCCACATTACCACTAATAGTAGGCACGACTAACAATTATTTTTAATAATTTATATTGTGACTAAATAATTATTGACCATTATGATGAAATTTTCCAAGTGCTCCGACTCCTAGAGCCCCAGCCCTGCCCTCACCACTGCACTCTTTTCCTGGCATATCCATATCTCTTGCTGACTTGAGATACATGTCGGTCATCAAGCGTGTCCGTCAGCTGATGGAAGAGGCAGGGGAAACTGTAGCAACCATCCACAGACCCAACCATCATGCTATTCCCAAGTCGGAATAGCTCTTCTTCCTCACTGAAAGTATGGTTGAACACCTCATGGATAAACCAGCATGGAATTGGGTTCTGGAAGGTGAAAGAAAGAAGTTACCACTCCAGGTGTGCTCTCTGGAAGCTTCACATGACACCCTCCCCATTTTGTTTATTGTCACGTCAGCTTTGGGATTTACTGTCCAACTAGTCCGAAGAGCATGTGTTTTTATATTTTGCAAGACTGTCTCAACCAGCAGTGTAAAACAACAGAAAACAGTTGCAAAGCTTTCACTTTTAAAGGGTTTCCAAGCACCCTG